GCAGGACCACTAGACTGAAAAACTCTTTCTTTCCCTCTGCCATCAGACTCCTAAACAGCTGAGGAGTTTGTTACCAAGAAATACGTCATGTACTGTCAACCTGTACTGTTTACGCTGGAAAAAAACTTAGAAAAAAAATCAACTGGACTAGATTTCTACGTCAAAAACGTTTTACCTCTCATCCAAGAGGCTTTATCAGTTCTGACTGACGTTGAGCTGGAGAGATTTATTCCCCTCGGTGGTGTTTCAGTCCTTTGAAGGCCAACAATGTCCCTTAACGACTCAGTCGTTATAGCCCAGAAAATAGCTTCCTTAACTCCTCTCTCAAACCAGCGATGTTCTCTGGAGAGGATCTGGACTTCACTGTCCTCAAAAGAATGTCCTTTGTCCTTCAGGTGGAGGTGGACTGCTGACTCTGGTCCACTGGAGTTGGCCCTCGCATTTGTGAAGCGGCTGCTTAGTTTCACCAATGTACAAGTCATTACACTCCTGACTGCACTTAATGGCATACACCACATCAGTGGTGCATCCACAGTACCTGGATGACTGAGAATCTGCACAGAGTGTACTGTTTACATTCTCAGTTTGCACATACATAATTGCAATGATTGTTGACTGCTGCACATGCTGCTCCCATGCAGCATACATTCTCTTATATTTATTATATTGCTGCTTAAAGTGCCTTAGATTTTGTGTTATTTATCTGCTTTATATTTCATGGCATTCATGTGGATAGTGTTATACCCCAGTTCTGTAATTGAACAGATCTGAATTAAGATGACTCCGACTTGCTTCATTTTAGTGCCTGTTTATTAAAAAAAAAAAAAAAAAAAAAAAAAAAAAACACAAATAAAAGTTAAAGCAGCACAAACCCGGGTGGCTCCCTCCCTCCTTCAGACAAGCTGCTGGAGAAGGGAGACCCCGAAACACAGAGCCTAATACATTTAAGGTTTTGGGCTAACCCCTTCCACAGAAAGATATAAAAACATCAGGAGTTGGAGACAGTCTGGCGTCTCCTTCTCTCATCTAGAGCTCCACATGCTTGGAGCAGCTGGACATAACAAAATGAAGAATTCCATGTGTGTAGGTTATGTGATGTGTAACTAAAACATTCTTTCAGACATAATTCTTACACAAGATTAATACAAGAAAATAACTGGTATCAAGGTAAACTTTCAAAATCAACATTATCTTCTAACCTTGAAACAGAGCAGAATTTGAATCTTAAACTACATTACTAACACATTAATGTCTAATAATTATCCGACTGATTTATTAATTTCTAACAAATTCCCCTTTTAGAAACGATTTTTATCGTGTCAGCCTAAATCAAATGTCCCTATTGTCCCCAGATTAGGCATCCAAGGAGGAGAGAGGCCCCCCCCTTACCACCCCCTCCAGGGAAAGCCCAGAGCCGAGTACCCAAGGGAAAAATCTCAAATAGTAATAAAAATAATGGCATGTAAGCTGGTCTTCGTTGCTGTGATCCTATATGTAAGCTTCCATGTGTAAGCTGGTCTTCATGTCAGGAACCGGCGCGTGATGCTGCCGAAAAGTGTTTGGTGAACTCAATTAAATGGCCAGATGAGGATATGTGAATAACGAAGGAGACATAAGATAAGAGACGGAGACGTCGGACTTTCTCCAGCTCCTGATGTTTTTACAGCTGTCTGGGTAAGTAGCCCAAAACTGATAAATGTATTAGGCTCTGTGTTTCCGGGTGCTTTTTTCCCTGCTCTCTTCTCCAGCAGCTTGTCTGAAGGAGGGAGCCCTGGGTTGTGTTCTGTAATCCATATATATATATTTGTAAATAAACCAGCACTAAAATCAAGAAAGATGGACTCCTTCCTTACTCAGATCTGTCCAGTAAAAACTGGGGTATAATAGTAGCAACAATGCTTGATCTAATTCCAGTAAGTGCTGCAAGTGTTTTACCGAATAGCCAGTTGAAGTCACAAAACCTTTTCTTCTCCAGTGGCACAACTCTACATGTACTACCTGTACCACGTACGCAGAATCTGTGTACATATTTACAACTTAGCCTTTTGACAACTGACACGCCTTATCAGAGCAATCAGCTCAGCCATCTGGGCTGAACTTGGATGTGGAATCACATCAGCTTGCAGTGTTCTTAAGCCAGTCATTGTGTCCTCGACCACAGCGTATGAAGCAACTAGACTGCCAGTGGCTGTCGGATGACCGTGACCATCACAGTACAATATTACTTCTGCATTAGGTAGCGGTTCCTTATGCAGGTTCTCATGCAGTCTCATCTCTGTGTCTGTTTTGCTCACACAATGATCCTGCTCAGTGACCATCTGCGTAGCCATGTTTGTTCCTTCACTTGTAAACTGTATGTGAGCCTGGTTCAATGGCTGTTGTAAGTTCTGGGTCCGATGTGCAGACAATATGTGTTATGTTTTGTCCCCCTCACCAGGAGGGTGAGGGAGAACTGAGGCAGGACTCAAGATTGCTGACCCAGGTGCTAGTAAAAAAGATGGTTTTATGGTGGGGAACACACACACAAAAAAAAGGAACAGTCAATGAATACAGTACAAGGACAAACTAACGGCAAGACTAAGGTGAGCAGGAGGATGAGGACAGATAGGTGAATAGACAGGCTAACCATGAGGACAGGCAAACAAAACAGTTTTCCACAGCACAGGAACTGTCAGCGTGGATAACACAAGTAGTGTCTGGCTAACCTCATGGACAAAAACAAACAAACTCAGAGATCCACAGCACAGGAACTGTCAGCGTGGACCTATAACACTAAACATATGACCAACGTACAAAATGCGATCCACAGCACAGGAACTGTCAGCGTGGACCTATAACACTAAACATATGACCAACGTACAAAATGCGATCCACAGCACAGGAACTGTCAGCGTGGACCTATAACACTAAACATATGACCAACGTACAAAATGCGATCCACAGCACAGGAACTGTCAGCGTGGACCTATAACACTAAACATATGACCAACGTACAAAATGCGATCCACAGCACAGGAACTGTCAGCGTGGAAAACATAATGACACACAAATACATACCATGAAATATATGGCTGTTACGGGGTATGCACGTTACAGTAGTTAATGCTCCAGCGACGACGGAGCATCCACCAGAGGTATAAATAAGGTAGGATGGTGATTACATAACGTGCCTCAGCTGTGCGCGACAACCCACGAGTCACTAATTACAAAAAGTGACACAGCTGAGGCGCGGATCCCACAAAAAAAAGAGAAAAGCAGAGAAAAGAAAGAGAGGCAGGGCGCGCCGAGCGGACCTGACAATATGAAAGCTTTGGAATCCAGAAATGCCCTGACACCATGTGTAGTGTGTACAACAGTTTGATAACCCATTGTGATATGTGAAGTTTTCAGTATCGCTCAACCGATTGCAGTGACATGCCTCACACAAGTTGGATGTCCCTTTTCAACATTGTCCAACTTAGAACTGTAATACATCAGCACCTTTCAGTTGTGTCCTCTACTTTCTCCCCCTTTTGAAATAGGACAGTATTCACTGTGCCGTCGTTTTCATCAACATCCAAATGGGAGTAGTCAGGTGCATGCAAAGCACATGCTTGTGCCAAAGCCTGTTTTATGGCAACAAAAGCCTCATCTGCTTGTCCCAGAAAGGAGACTCTAGGTCTCCCAATCTGCAGTTTGTCCTTGGAGACTTTGAAGCCATTCCTGGCTAAATGTGACAGCAAGGATCTAGTGGCTGGTCCTTGAGTCGGGAGCCGCTAACAAAAGGTCATCAACATATTGTAACAAAGTGACCCCCGGTGGAAGTGATAGATCTTTCAGGTTTTGTAGCAAAACATGGTTAAAGATGGAGGGGGAGTCAATGAAACCCTGCGGCAGCCGCCAATAGGTAAATTGTTGTTCCTGATATGTGAAAGCAAACAAATAACGTGAGTCAGGATGCAGTGACACAGAGAAAAAGGCATTTGCCAGATCAATGCATGTGAAAAACCTGTGTGATGAGCCTATAGCATTGAGCATGGTATAAGGATTTGGAGTGGCATAGTTTGTAGGGACCACAAGTTTGTTTACAGGTCGAAGGTCATGAACCATCCTGTAGTCAGGTTTCCCAGTTTTAGACATCAGATTTATAGGTGTGTTCCAAGGAGAAGAAGTAGGAATTAAAACTCGTAATTGCAAAAGCCCTTTAATTGTGTTTTGAATGCCACTGATTTGCTCAGGTTTCAGTGGATACTGAGCTCTGTACACTAGTACCACCCCTGCACGTAAAGGTATGATGATAGGCTCCACATGGAGAAGTCCCACATCCATAGGACCAGAGGACCAGAGAGAAGTGGGCAAACTGTCTAACAATGTCTGAGTGAGCGGGTGATCTATGTTCTCTCTGCCATGACACCTGGGAAGAAAACACTTTTCCAGTGTTAATGACAACTGTGAGGAATGCTTGATAGCATAACACTGAGTTGAAGGTGAATACTGAAGATGCTTATTCTGTGTGAGCATCCAATCAATAGCTTTTGTACAACTATATTTATTATAAATTGTAATTTTGGAATTTTGGGGAGGCGACAGTGGGTGGGTAGAGCTGTCATCTCCCAACCAGGAGGTTGACGGTTCGAATCTCGGTGCCGACAGTCCACGTGTGAAGTGTCCTTGGGCAAGACACTGAACCCCGCCCCGACGGTTAGAGCCGTCGGTTGAGGTGGCGCCACAGATGGCTGCCATCAGTTCTGTACCGGAAACAAATTCCTTGTGTGTAACATACTTGGCCAATAAAGGTGATTATCCTTATCCTAAAAATTCAAATAACTTATGTACTGATAGATGCCTTTTTCTAAAATGTGAGCCTCTGTCCCCTGACAATCTCTCTGCACGTCCCTGGGGCTGAGCAATGTAACAAAACCTCAGTATGGTGCGGTTATCTCAATATAGTCGTTGCATATACAGTAGTAACTACATCCACATTCCTGTCCAAAAGGTGGCGGTATTGCACCTAACGTAGTTTGCCAACCGTCATTAAAAATACAGAAGAAGCAGAAGCAGCAGTAGAAGACGGCGAAGAAGAAGGATGAGGCACCTACTTCGTGTGTAGTACATACATTTAATACATCTGTGGGGTAACGTTTTTGTTGACAATGTCTCGACTTAAAAGAGCGGAACAGGCGGACTCACTTTTGGGCTTCAGGAAGGAGAAGACAGAACCGACCGTTCCTTACGGTCTGCTGAAGGCAGCCAGGAAAAGCGGCCAGCTGAACCTGTCCGGCAGAGGGCTGACAGAAGGTAGGATACATTTCAATAGCCCGCTAGATCACATCGACGGCATCACCAAACGTATTCTTCTGTTTTTGAGATGAATTCAAAAGTCAAATGTCAGCTCAAAATGCTGCATGAAATGCGGATATAACGCGTAGACAGTGTTGGGGAAACAACTTTGAAAATGTTACGTTAACTTTGCAAATTAAAAAACAGTTAAACTACAGCAAAGCTACTCTAGAGAGAAATGTGGTTAGGGAAAGTAAAGTTATTTTGATAAAGTAGTTCAGACTACTTTGTTAAAAAAAAAAAAAAAAAACAACAGCTATAAAACTGACACTTTGTGTTATTCAAAACTATAACATAACAAAAGAAAACTCACTTACCAGCAAAAAATGCCATTCAGTTGAGTTTATTTACCTGACACGACCAGTCCTTAACAAAATGGTAATATCTGGCTTTATTCAGTGTAGTTATCTATTTATTGTAAACAAATTATATAAGTGCATCTTGACTGTTTGACTGACTTTAGTGTTGGTCTAATAAATATGAAGCTGTTGTGTTAGTTGCACAAAACTATGAAATTAAAAGTCAAAACAATTTATCATGCAGCCCTACATTAAACCAAAATGCTTTTAAATGGACATTTGATTAAGGTGACATATAAGATGAATGTGCAGACAATATTGAAATATAATGGAGAGGTGACTTGAACTCAAAAATATAAGCTACCAGCACGTGGTCCCCACCATGTAAATTACTGAATTTTAGACTTGGCTTGGATCAAGTTTAGGGTTTAATTTTGGCCAGGTCTCCCTTGTAAAAGAGGTTTGAAATCTCAGTGGGACTTCCTGTTTAAATTAACATTTTGAAATAACCGATATTTCCTTTAACACTTCTCAGTCCCTCAGAATGTGTATCGTCTAAACATTGACACACCAGAGGAGGCCCAGCAGAATGTGTCCTTTGGAGCATCAGATCGCTGGTGGGAACAGACTGACCTCACCAAACTGCTTCTCTCATCCAATCAGCTCACACAAATATCTGATGACATCAGGCTACTTCCTGGACTCATTATATTGGATGTAAGTAACACCAACTGAGTTAGTTAGAAGACTGGAAAGAGGTGTATAGAATCAGATATTTTCAGATGTATTTTGTGTCAGCCTACTTTGATTTCATTACAGACATTTAAAATGTTTTATATTTTCAATCTAAAGGTACACTAGGCATCAGGAGCCATATTCACAAAGGATCTTATCTTACCATTAAAGGGGTTTGTCCTTTATAGGAACCTGCTACTAAAATCAAGTTTGGGGGGAGCGGTGGGAGGTTGTGCCTGCACATAGATCAGTCCCCTGTGATTGGTTAAATCTTCACACCTCAAGCTTTAGCATTACAAGCACCTCATGTAAACACCACATTTGGGGTACATACTGTATTCCATAGTTCAGGTGCATGGATTTATTTATTACAACCCATGCACTGGGTAACAGACAAGGAAATCATTCCACCTTAAAAGCTGCCTGTAACATTTCAGTGGTACTATAAAAAATAGCTCAGTTGTTAACTAATGTTAATTATTAAAAGTAAAAAGGCAGCAAAACATTCTTTCATTTTTGGAACAGCTAAACAATAAAAGTTCCAGACGATGTAATGTTGGTTAAAAACAGCAATCAGACTAGGCCCACGTCCACCTTGGGCTAGCTAACAGGTTGGTTCCTACCAGTGCTGGCTCTCGAACTAGCACTGTAGACACCGACACTGACCAAGTCTGTTCCAAAGCAAAAGCATCTGAAATCAGTCGGTGTGCACTGGTGCAATGTAGGCCACTAACAGCAATGAAAACAGTGAAGGTGTTATGGGTCCTCTGATAAAATACTAATCTTACTGTTTTTTCTCATTTATATAAGAATTTTCTATGACTATAACATTCACCCTCTGACAGCTGGCTACTAATTGACATTATTCTACCACAGCAGAGATTAAACTCTAACATTTGACCATGTGAGCAGTCATAGTTGAAACAGTGTTTAAATGGCCCTTGAAATGAGCCACAGCTTATCCATCATGGTGTGCTACTTAAACAAATAGCACAACACTTCTGGTTACAGGTATGATAGGGCAAAAATGTATAATACTATAATTTTATACAATAAACAGAACAAAGGTAAGATCAAAACATGCTCTGTTACAATGTTCCTTCTAGCCTGGTTTGAACTGACGCTTCTCTGTAAATGTCCAGCAACAAGCTTCCTTGTCTCTTCACGGACCTGGTCACTGTTGTTGCTTTTCTCCATGTTTATTTCTTCTTGTCTGTGAGGGGCTGAACATTGAATAATGACAACTGGAAATATGCATATGCATGTGCATGTACAGAGGAGTAAGACCTTAAAAAGACCATGTATCCTGATCCGGCTCTTCTGACAGCAGATGCATGGTCAGAGATCGGATATGAATTGAATCTACGACCACATATGCAAGTGGCCCAGATCTCATATAAAAACATCTTATCTGGTTTGTTCACACATCTGTAAAATCAGAACATCAGATCTGAGTCTGAGCGTGATCAATCAGTGTCATTGTTCTGTGATGAGAACGCCATGCTTTTCACAGAAAAAGATTCTGGGTATTATTAATCAAAGTAATGAAGTAATTTTAATTGTAATTGTTATAAAATGTTCAATTTGCTCTGGCAGCTCCATGACAACCAGATGAGCAGTTTACCTAATGCTGTGGGAGAACTACAGGAGCTCCAACAACTGCGACTCAGGTACAAACGAATAATTAATATTAATGTACCTTATCAGTGTAGTTAAATACTGGTGTCACAAACACTCTTTTCAGTTTCACGTTTGATATTTGTGTAAGATTTTATATGAGTAATGTGATGGGAGGATGATATTCATTAACTTAACTAATAACTTTTATTTAATTGGTGGAAATATGATTTTAGCATCATTATTTTTGTCAATATTGAGATTGTGATTCAGTGACTTTGAAAACATGCATTTATTTTACTTGTCTTTAAACAGCGGGAGTTTGTTAACTTTAAATATGATTCAACTGAAAAACAAATTAGGAATTTTAGGGCTGAAACAACTAATCGGTAAAATCAGTAAAAATCGCTAATAAAAATAGTTGACAGTGAATTTAATTATAGATGAGTTGAGACTAGTCACAGCCGTGTGAGACAGCTGGGTTGGTCACTGGTGATTACGTCAGTGAGGCGTATCAACGCATCTGAAAAACAGCAGAAGTGGTGGATTAAACATGGTTACAGCAAATAAAAATGGACGACCAGCCGTCTGAAGTTTGCAAACATATGATTTCACAGTGAGAAAGAAGACTGTCCGGTGCCAACTATACAAAGCATGACACTAATGCATTAGCACCTAAAGTATTGGCATGGAGTTACAGAAGAAGGGGAGCCTGAAGCTGAGTAACTCATTAACTGTAGTTAGTAATGTAAGAAATTATGAAACTTTGTTACATAGCCTATATTATAATGCTAATTATACACTCACCAGCCACTTTATTAGATACACCTGTACAATTGTATGCACTTCAGTGCAACACTTCCACCTGAATATCTGTTTTTATGAAGCTCAAAATGTTGTTTTTGGTGAAATTGTCATAAATGTGTAAATTCAATTATATGTTTATGATTAAGGTCAGAGCTAAAGGTGGTGGTGTTATATTCAGAGGTGTTCCTAATATTCTGACCCTTGCATGTACGTAGCTGAGAGGATATGAACAAATATAATGTAGTAGTAAAACAAAATACAGTCTAATCATAAGACTTCATTGATCCCTGGTGGGAAACTAGCAAGCTGCCCAGCAGTATGTCAAGTAGTACTTCAAATTATAAGCATATAAGGTAGTTAAGCATTAGCTCCACCTTTACTTTAATTATGATGCACACAGTAATGCATCAGTAATAATGATTCAATAATATGTTATACAATAATGAGAACCTTGCAGTTCTGCTTTTAAGTATTTTGATGCTCATACTTTTGTACTTTTACTTAAGCAACATTTTGAATGCAGGGCTTTGTACCAAACTATTTTACAGTGTGGTATTGCTACTTTTACGGAAGTAAACAATGTGGGTACTTCTTCCACCACTGTTCACTTCACCTGATGGGAGCAAAGCCAGGTCGTGCTGAAAGGCTGAGCTCGATTTACATTGTGAAATGGAGTGCAGCACAATAATCCTTTTATCTTGAGTATTTTGTTTTTATAATTGTTGGAAGCCAGAATCATCATTGAAAATAAAATTGGATTAGCTGCCCAGTGCTAGTGGAAATGTTTTTACCATATTTAGCCACATTTAATGTCATTACCAGGCTTCCATGATATTCACATTTTATAAAATGTTAGACAAACTGCTACTGGATCCTCCATAAAAGACTCAAAAGAACATTTTTTCTAAATTGGCATAAGTGCAGCTGTATTAATTTGAATATACCTCTGCTGCCTGAAGACTGTTACCCGCGTGTGGACCCAGAGGAAGTGTAGAAGAAAGTCTAAGTGTACAGCGACCAGACTTTAATATGGTTAAAGAAATCAGCACATTTCTGAACTTCAATGATGTAGTCTTCTGCCAGTCAAATCATCTTTTATTTCATTCAGTGATTGAAATTGAAAGCCTGTACAAGTCCCTCACATTCTGCTCTGGCAAGAGATGTGAGTTACCAACACCCTCTCCTTCATCAACCATGTCCTTAGCTCCAAAAAGGTCTCAGACGACTGACAGCTGCTGCACTGAGAGCAATGCTATAAATTTTACACCAGCTTTCTCCTGACATTACATTTCAACCACATTTCCCTTACTTGCAGTGGTGGTAAATCAGGTGCTGAGGGTATGCGTATAAATTTTCATTCTGTCCTCTGATTTTTGCCTCCCTGAACAGGAACACCTTAAAATACATATTGCATGAGAACCAACATGCAAATACCTGTGGTGCCAAATTTCTTCAGCTTCTCTGCTGCAAAATCCCACTGTGACTCCTGTAGTAATTATGATCACATGCAGTTTCACTGTTTAACAGCTGTAAATGAGTCACAAATCCTTAGTAAATGTCCCCCAAAGTGTTGGAACTGTGCACGTCACAGCAGTGAAACAAGCTTCAACTCTTAATTCCTGCCAAAAGAGCTCCTACAAAATACAGAATTAAAGAGAGTTCAGCTTTTGATATTAAATAAATGTACAAATAATTTGCTAAAATGTTTTGTTCACTTTAGAACTTGGCAAATGTATCAATTTAAAATTAAATTCACTGTATACAGCATTTCACAGACATGCACAATTTAACATCTTTCTCAGGTTTTCAGGTGTTCACTGGGAGATTGTGCACAAACCACATTTATGGATGTTAATCATTGCAACCTTTAACAGCTATGACAAAAATTTTACACACACACACACATTTATGTGTATGTATGTATGTATATATAATAAATTCCCCACACTCACCCCCACTTTGGGGCGGTCTTGTATTCCTTGCTTCAAGCTCGGGTCCTCTACCAGAGGCCTGGGAGCATGAGGGTCCTGCGCAGTATCTTAGCTGTTCCTAGGACTGCACTCTTCTGGACAGAGATCTCAGATGTTGTTCCTGGGATCTGTTGGAGCCACTCTCCCAGTTTGGGGGTCACAGCCCCCAATGTTCCTATTACCATGGGGACCACTTGTGCCTTCACCTTCCACATCTTTTCTAGCTCTTTTTTCAGCCCTTGGTATTTCTCAAGCTTCTCGTGTTCCTTCTTCCTGATGTTGCTATCACTTGTGATTGCTACATCTATCACTACGGCCTTCTTCCTCTGTTTGTCCACCACTACTATGTCCGGTTGGTTGGTCATTACCAGTTTGTCAGTTTGTATCTTGAAGTCCCACAGGATCTTAGCTTGGTTATTCTCAACCACCTTTGGAGGTGTATCCCATTTTGACTTTGGGACTTCCAGCCTGTACTTGGCACAGATGTTTCTGTACACTATGCCAGCCACTTGGTTATGGCGTTCCATGTATGCCCTGCCTGCTAGCATATTGCACCCCACTGTTATGTGCTGGATTGTCTCAGGGGCATCTTTGCACAGCCTGCACCTGGGGCAGTGTCTGGTATGGTAGACCCTGGTGGTTTGTCCTTCCATGAGGGTTCCTGCTCTTCCTTCCCTTGTTCCTCTGCTTTCTGCTGCCTGAGGTATTCACTAAGCACGTCATCACTCAGGGCCATCTTCCTGATGTATTCATGGATCTTTGTTGTTTCGTCCTCTATAGTGGCTCTGACGCTCACTAATCCTCGGCCTCCTTTCTTCCGCTTAGTGTACAGTCTCAGGATGCTGGACTTGGGGTGAAACCTGCCGTGCATTGTAAGGAGCTTCCTTGTCTTGATGTCAGTGGCCTCTATCTCCTCCTTTGGCCAGCTTATTATGCCGGCGAGGTACCTGATGACTGGCATGACGTAGGTGTTAATCGCCCAAACTTTGTCCTTTCCATTCAGCTGGCTTCTCAGGACTTGCCTTACTCTCTGCAGGTACTTGGTGGTTGCTGCTTTCCTTGCGGCCTCTTCATGGTTCCCATTTGCCTGCGGGATCCCAAGGTACTTGTAGCTGTCCTCAACATCTGCT